CGTGTATACTTATTTATCCTCTTTTTCTTAAAATATGTATTACCTATAACTAAACCCCTTTCTATACAAGTTCAATCAAAGGGCTCCCATTATCATTTACACCTGGCACCCCAAACTTACCTACCACACCCTCTCTAAAAGTTTCTCCTACTTTAGCATTCAGGTCCCCTACCACAAATTACTCTCTCACTTGGTTCAAAGGCTCCTATACATTCACTTAACATCTCCCAAAATCTCTCTCTCTCCTCTGCATTCCTCTCTTCTCCAGGTGCATACACGCTTATTATGACCCACTTCTCGCATCCAACCTTTACTTTAATCCACATAATTCTCGAATTTACACATTCATATTCTCTTTTCTCCTTCCATAACTGATCATTTAACATTACTGCTACCCCTTCCTTTGCTCTAACTCTCTCAGATACTCCAGATTTAATCCCATTTATTTCCCCCCACTGAAACTCTCCTACCCCCTTCAGCTTTGTTTCGCTAAGAGCCAGGACATCCAACTTCTTTTCATTCATAACATCAGGAATCATCTGTTTCTTGTCATCCGCACTACATCCACGCACATTTAAACAACCCAGTTTTATAAATTTTTTTCTTCTTCTTTTTTAGTAAATGTATACAGGAGAAGGGGTTACTAGCCCATTGCTCCCGGCATTTTAGTCGCCTCATACGACACGCATGGCTTACGGAGGAAAGATTCTTTTCCACTTCCCCATGGACAATAGAAGAAATAAAAAGAACAAGAGCTATTTAGAAAAAGGAGAAAAACCTAGATGTATGTATATATATATATGCATGTGCGTGTCTGTGAAGTGTGACCAAAGTGTAAGTAGGAGTAGCAAGATATCCCTGTTGTCTAGCGTGTTTATGAGACAGAAAAAAGAAAAATGTGCTGATATAATTAATATCAGCACATTTGTGAAAGTATATTAGACCCACCAGTTGATATATATTGAACTCGTGACATGATTTGTTTACTCTCAAATATTATAAAAAATTAAACATTTCTCCTTTGATCTCACTTTCAAGCTACTTTTGGTCTGTAAACCATTCAAAATCATCTCTATTTCTGTAATATATCTCCCATTCTGTCAAATGAGATCAAGAAAACGAGAATACAACCACAAATACCACACGAAAATACACCGCAAAAGTCTCTGTTTTCAATAAAAAATGCGGTTGCAGTTTTTTTTCTCATTATGCACTGCGTGCTGCAGGATTTTTTTTTTTTTATACTGGGCACACTGACCACTCGGACCCATTCTCTCATATGTATGCCTAGCAGCTTTTCTCCCGCAAGATTGGAAAAACCCTAGAATTTTGGCATAGTGTTATGGGGCTGACACTGGCTTCAAAGCCGTAATATTATGGGGTCGACAGCGAAAGAGTTTTAAACTAGCCTGTGTAATGATCCTTTTAATCCAGCCTGTGTAATGATCCTTTTAATCCAGCCTGTGTAATGATCCTTTTAATCCAGCCTGTGTAATGAATCCTTTAATCCAGCCAGTGTAATGATCCTTTAATCCAGCCTGTGTAATGATCCTTTTTTAAACCAGCCAGTGTAATGATCCTTTTAATCAGCCTGTGTAATTTATCCTTTTAATTTCCCGCCTGTGTAATGATCCTTTTTAAACCAGCCTGTGTAATGATCCTTTTAATCCAGCCTGTGTAATGATCCTTTTTAAACCAGCCTGTGTAATGATCCTTTTAATCCAGCCTGTGTAATGATCCTTTAATCTAGCCTGTGTAATGATCCTTTTAATCCAGCCTGTGTAATGATCCTTTTAATCCAGCCTGTGTAATGATCCTTTTAAAACCAGCCTGTGTAATGATCCTTTTTAATCTAGCCTGTGTAATGATCCTTTTAATCCAGCCTGTGTAATGATCCTTTTAGTCCAGCCTGTGTAATGATCCTTTTAATCCAGCCTGTGTAATGATCCTTTTAATCTAGCCTGTGTAATGATCCTTTTTTAAACTAGCCTGTGTAATGAAACCTTTTAAAACCAGCCTGTGTAATGATCCTTTTAGTCCGCCTGTGTAATGATCCTTTTAATCCCGCCTGTGTAATGATCCTTTTAAAACCAGCCTGGTAATGACCCCTTTTAATCTAGCCTGTGTAATGATCCTTTTAATCCAGCCTGTGTAATGATCCTTTTAGTCCAGCCTGTGTAATGATCCTTTTAATCCAGCCTGTGTAATGATCCTTTTAATCCAGCCTGTGTAATGATCCTTTTAATCTAGCCTGTGTAATGATCCTTTTAATCCAGCCTGTGTAATGATCCTTTTAGTCAGCCTGTGTAATGATCCTGACCTCTTAGGTTGTGAATCGAAACATTTGGCAAGAAGGTGGACATCTGGTCCCGGGGCATCATGGCCATCGAATGGGGGAGGGTGAACCTCCATACCTGAAGGAATCGCCACTCAGAAACCCCCTATCTTATTGCTCTCAATGGCAGACCAAACATTCCTTCCCTGGAATAAATTTTTCCCCAATTTTCAGGTATTTATAATTTTAAATTCCTTTTATTTTGATATCCTGTAATTCTTTTTTTTTCAGAGAAAAAATTTAATTGTAAAAAAAAAAATTTCTTAAAGTCAACGGCCGTCTCCAGCCAAGGCTGAGCGGCAAAAAGAAGAAAACACATTCACTATCATTTATTCAATCTTTTTTCTATTTTTTAAAACATGGTCATTTCCCGTCAAGGTGGGGTGTCTTCCCCCCCCCCAAAAAAAAAGAAGCACTTTCACCATTATTCACTCTATCACTGTCTTGCCATGCATTGCAAAAATTTTACTGTAAATTAAACCTTTTTAACCAAAATATTCTTGTTTTTTGTAGAAAATGTTTTAATTTCCCAAAAAAGTTTTGACAAATCTTAAAAAATGTGAAAACATTACGAAATTCAAACACATTTTAGGAATACAAAATACTATAGCAAGCTTGCGTGAGCGTGTTTGATAGGAGTGAATGGAGACAAATGGTTTTTGATACTTGACGTGCTGTTGGAGTGTGAGCAAAGTAACATTTATGAAGGGGTTCAGGGAAACCGGCAGGCCGGACTTGAGTCCTGGAGATGGGAAGTACAGTGTCTGCACTCTGAAGGAGGGGTGTTAATGTTGCAGTTTTATAACTGTAGTGTAAAGCACACCTCTGGCAAGACAGTGATGGAGTGATGATGAAGGTTTTTCTTTTTCGGGCCACCCTGCCTTGGTGGGAATCGGCCAATGTGTTAATAAGCAAATTGGTGGGGTTATTTTAGCTTCAATTTCTTGGAGGAACACTACAGCAGGCCTACTGGCCTATACAAGGCAGGTCCTTCTCAGAACCAACCATTCCCACCCACCTATCTGTCCAGCCTTTGCCCAAAACCACCGAAGAATTTTCTTCAATTTGCCTCTAAGCTAAAGTAAAATTCGTTGATTTTAGAGAATTTTAAATTTCTGTATTCGGATGCGGGAGGCTCTTGGGAAAATTATTTTCGTAATTTTTACGACTCGGGTTTTATATCCTTTGAGTGGACACCTTGATGCCAGTTAAGGGCTTTTGATCCAAGGAATCGAAGTTGCCCTCAGGGTAAACCTGAATATCCCCCTTTTCTCATGTGCTGTTTAACCCCTACAGGTTTAATGCTTCCCCATAAAAAGTAATAATCAACGGGTTTTCTTCCATGAGCAGGAGACGCCCTTAGAGGTAAAAAAATAATACATAATATACATATTAAAAATAATAATTACATGTATAATACTAAACTCTATATTTTTACAGATTCTTATTACAGTTGTTCATTTTGTAAGTGAATTTTTTTGGAAAAATGAAATTTTTAAGGGAGTTCATCCTGTTCTGCAAGTTCAGCTTATTTGTTTTTTATTGTGTCCATGGACAAGTGGTAAATCCATGTGAGTTACACAGGGTCTGGTGAATCCCTGTGAGTTACACAGGGTCTGGTGAATCCATGTGAGTTACACAGGGTCTGGTGAATGGAAGGTTAATCAGGTTTGAGTTGAGGAACAGAAGGTTTACTTCAGTTTTTTAAATCTAGAGTCCTTCAGTAGTGTCAGGCTGATGATTTACTTGTACAGGTGGGCCCTACTTTACAGCACTTAGCTTTACAGCACTTAACTTTACAGTGCTTCACTTTACAGCATTTAACTTTACAGTGCTTCACTTTACAGCATTTAACTTTACAGTGCTTCACTTTACAGCACTTAACTTTACAGTGCTTCACTTTACAGCATTTTGCTAATGCAGTGGTTTTTAGTTACACCCATTCTTCATTTATTCAGACTTAATACAATGAATATAGTAATCACTACTCACCATAAGCTAAGGATGAAAATATTTTAAGGTAAGTAATGTGTGTACTGTATATACATGTTTAAGGCCTAGCGGTATTACTCACTTAATATATGATAGTGTAAACATAGGCTTTTACAGTGGACCCCCGGTTAACGATATTTTTTCACTCCAGAAGTATGTTCAGGTGCCAGTACTGACCGAATTTGTTCCCGTAAGAAATATTGTTAAGTAGATTAGTCCATTTCAGACCCCCAAACATACATGTACAAACGCACTTACATAAATACACTTACATAATTGGTCGCATTCGGAGGTAATCGTTATGCGGGGGTCCACTGTATATGCATTTGAAAGTGGAAAAGAGTTATTGTTTCACTTTACAGCAATAGCCTGGAACCTAACCTGTTGTATAAGTGGTGCCCACTTGTATTCTGTATGGTGTGAGTAATGCACACAGTGTATATATACACACTGTGTTTATACTGATTACGAGTATTTTTGACTGGTGACGTAGAGGTGACATGAAGTCACATTACCTTCCTGCAAACGTTATCTTGAAAAACATTTAGACATTCTCTTTGTATTCATTATCGTGAAACACCGTACCTTCCTTTGATCACTCTCTTACCACTGACCCTTGTATAATCTCTTGACTTTAAGCCCCATTAACTGTCTTACGTCTGATATTTTACAGGACTTTTTAACCTGCTGCCTTGAAGTTAATGTGGAGAAACGTGCATCAGCCAAGGAACTCCTCGCTCATCCATTCCTCACTATAGCAGTGAGCACCAAGACTCTGAAACCCCACATTGAGGCAGCTCAGAAGATCCTCGAGAAACGTATCAGCATGGTCTCTTAAGCTGGACTGAATCGGAGTTGGTGTTTTAGGTTTAGAAGTCACAACTGTGTTTATTTCCAATGCACCGGCCATCTCCCACCGAGGCAGGGTGACCTAAGAAGAAGAAAAAAGAAAGTTTTATCTTTTATTGTACCAGTCATCTCCTACCGAGGCAGGGTAGGCATTTGAGTCACCTCTTATGAGAGACATGACTTACAGAGGAAGAATTCTTCTCCACTTCTCCATGGAGAACGACTATGCTCATAACAACATATTTTTAAGGCTAGTTTTTATTTAAACTGCACTGGACGTTTCCCACCAAGGTAGGGTGACCCAGAGAAGGAAGCACATTCACCATCATTCGTTTAGTGGCTATCCTGCCATCTCACTCTACCTCAGTGGGAGACGGTCAGTGCATTGAAAACAAAGAGGCCTATGTCTACATTGCAGTTATTTTGCATCTATTGTTTACTGATAGTAAACTGTGATTTATAAGCAAATTAAGTATAACTGTTGAAAAAATATTAATTTTTTTGACTTGCAAGAATTACAGTATTACAGTCAACCTCACAATATAACAGACATCAGTATGACAGATTTATGAAGTAATAGGCAAAATCTGCTAAGTATATTGTATTATTAACTCTGTTATTTTCAATGTTTCTTGCAATGTATCTGTAAATTGAGTGTACAGAGGTAAATTAGGAAGACAGTAGAGTACTTAAGTTTTTTACTCCTATATTTTAACATTATTCTGATTCACCGAGCACTATAAGTGCATTATATTGAGGTTCCAGTCAGGGAACAAATGGAGTTCGAACCCAAGGCAAGACAGTCTTAAAACTCACAGGACAGTACATTAACCACTTGACCTATAAACTTTAGAACTCGCCTGCCATGGGTTCAAGTCTCACCTATTCCCTGATTTGTTTGCAGTCGTGTTGTTATGATTTCGTGAGTCCTCGAGGGTCTACTAACAAACTTTGCTAGTCATACAAGATACATCTGACATAACCAATATGTGTCCTTGCATTCATGTGTCTTTACTGAACTTCTGTTTCGATGTTAGATAAAATGACACATGCACCTGATGCAACATTTACTGTGGCAACATTTCATTCACCAGGAGCTTAGTCGAGCTGTTACCGGAGAGCAAAACGTTGCCATGATATACAGTAGGGCCTTGAATAACATAATTTCGTTCATCATTTCATTATAACACAGATGAGAAAAAGAATTTAATGAATACAATAAATAATGTAAAATAAAAATTTGTAAAGTATATGATAATCATACAAATGCACAACAACAAACATTGTGGTACGAAAATGCAGTGAGTCTGACGCCATATTTGTTATTGTTTGTTTTTAAACTGCGTAGTGGTAGGAGGCGTTTCATATATTTTTCCCTTTGCAAACATTTATTCCTTGATTTAACCCTGTTGCAATGAGTGTTGAAGGTGCACTGTGCACCACTGATGTCTATGGCCACAAAAAGCAGAGAAAAAGTGTAACATTAGAAACAAAACTACAAGTTTTAAAGAGGTTTGACAATGGAGGGCGAGATGCGGTTTTGTCAAACGTTGTTTTTAAACCTATCGACGATGTTAAGTGAGGACTTATTGTAATATCACATTAGTTGCATATATTATTTTACCTAACTTTTTTTTCAACAAACCAGCCGTATGGAGGCCTGGTCACAGACCGGGCCGCGGGGGCGTTGACCCCCGAAACTCTCTCCAGGTAAACTCCAGGTATCTCACCAAGGCAGAATGTTTGTAAAAGAAACCGAAAGTTTCTCTTTTTAAATCTAGTAATTTTAAAATTTAATAATTTTACCTAACATGTTGGTAATTCTGCCAGCATTATTGCAATTTGTTTGGATGTTCTTATGCAGTACAAGGAGTAATTTTTATTTTACCTCATGTTAAGAGGTACATTCATGTGGACCATTCATCACAATACATGATGAATGTCCCCTTACACTAGTCGTGAGACAGAGATGTGCACCACTGCAGTCGCATCTCGAGTACATGTGCCATACTAGTGCTTCAAGTACAGTCCTTTTCCTTTAACCCTTAAACTGTCCAAACGTAGATCTACGTTTACGCATGTAGCGCTCCGACTTTGATTTTCCCCATTTGAAAGCATGTAAAAAACGTAGATCTACGTTCGGAGCACTACGCGAGCAAGTGTAGATCTATGTTTGGACAGTTTAGGGGTTAAGCTGTACAATTATATTTTGTAACATTGAGGTAAGGGCTGAGGATGTTGAAGTTCTAAGGGTCATCTGAACTGTGATGTCAGCATGCCTCCGGCAAGACAGTAATTAAATGAATGATGGTGAATGTGTTTCTTCTCTTTTTGGGTCATCCTACCTCTGTGGGAGATGGCTAGTGATTTCTCACCAAGGCTTGCTGTAATACCTGGACAGGAGGTACTCAGCTTGTGGAAAAGTTCCACTCATCATGTTCCAACTTTACAATGAATTAAACCATACCATGGACGGGGATAGAACCCACGATCAGAGAGTCTCAAAACTCCAGACCGTCGCGTTAGCCACTGGACCAGCTAGCTACAATAAGATTCGTCCAACTAGTTATATTTCTACACCATAGGAAGTCTAGCATAGGCACCACTGTGACCACAAATGCAAGCTTTTACAGACGAATCTCCAGCTAGCATCCTCTTCAAGGGGGGCTCCTTGGCGTGGTGAAGAGGCTCTTGGTCTGAGGAATTAGACCTATCGGTCTTCTTCCTCAGACCGAACCTAATTACCCCCCAATCTCCCCTCCCCTATCCCATCCTCCCCATCCTCCCCTTTTTCCTTTCCTCCTCCTCCTCCCCACTCCTCCCTTTTGCCTTCCTCTTTTTGTCCTTTGGGATTTCTTCCCACAGGCGCGCTAGTTCCTAGGTAGGGGAAAGGACACCGGGGTCCATCCCATTCCGTTGAGGTTTCTTGGCGGTGGCGTAGTTTTGCCGTGGAATCTGGATTGCCTAGGGATGTCCCGATCCCTCTCCGGTATCCCGGAGTAGCTTTGGGTGTCTTTTGGGCGACGGGTTGTATCTCTGGAAGCCACCTTTCGGATTCCGGGGGTGGTGGCTGAAGGAGGTATGCTTTGTGGCGGATATCCGGCCGCCCTCTCTTTTGTCCACCGAGGTAGCTCGGCAGATGTGAGGTTGCTATCCCAGATTGCTGGTTTACTGGCATGAGGGTAGGGTATGGCACGGGTTCCATGCTGCATCTGCGCTACTAGCGGTGTCGAGTCCTCTTGGGCGCGGAGGGAGATTTCTGGCCCTTTCATTCCTCCTAGGAACTATCCCTCCCCGGTCCCCCCTTTTTTTTTTCTTTTTTTTTTATTTTTATTTTCTTTTCTCTTTCTTTTTTTTTCTTAAAAACAAAAAGAAAGAAGTAACCTAACCATGGCAGCCCTAGTCCATGAACCTGGTACCCCCCGGGCCCCTTCTTGATACCGCACCCCGTTCTGACCCCGCCTCGTCTTTGGACCACTCTTCAGACATTCCTCATGCCTCTGTAACCTATTGCCGGTGCTGTTTCCTCACCCGCTTCAGGTACTGAGGCCTCGACGACTCCTTCGATTTATCAGACCTTCGCTCTCCTCTGACTATGCTTCCGGCCTCTCCCTCTACGGTGCGGCAATTTTCAAATCGCCGACCCGTTCCACGTCGGACCAACTCTGGTCCCACGCCCTAAACGTCAACGACAATTACCTGCTGATGATACTTCTCCACCTTCACCTTCTCGTTCTTCTCAGAAACGATCGACACGTCCTTCACTACCTTTCCACGCTCAGTTTCAGACTGAACAGTGGACTAAATTCTTCACTTTACGACCAACTTCCTCTACTGCCTATCTTTCTGACCATAGTATTGGCAAGGCACTCCTACGCCATGTTGGTAAAGATATTTCTTTTCATGCTCTTAAGAGCGGTACGCGCATCATTACTGTACAGAATGCTACCCAGGCATCGTGAGCTCTCTCGTCTTTCCCATATAGATACTGTTCCTGTCACCCTTGAAAAACATCATTCCCTCAATTCTTGTAGTGGTACCGTTATTCTGCCCCATACCATAGTTCAACAAAATTTCCAGACATGTGGCACCGACATTCTAGAACAGCTGGAACTCAAGATCTCCCAATCCTCAAGGTAGACACTTACGTCTTCCTGCCCGTGGGCGGAGACGATACCCTAGCAATGTGGCTCATTTAACTTTTGACAGCCGAGAACTCCCATCCTCAGTTTATATAGCAGACATCGGTTACAAGTTCGAAAGGTGATCCCTACACCACAACAGTGTAGAAATTGCTGGCGATTTGGCCATCCAGCGAAATATTACAGATCTATCGCCGAATGCCCAGTCTGTGGTGCCGATGACCATTCTAATACGTCTTGCAATCGATCTCCCTCTTGCCTTAACTGTCATGAGGCTCACCCTTCGTACTCTCGCCGTTGTCAGGTCTATTTAAACGAGCGGGAAATCCGTTACCTCAAAGAGACAGAAGGTCTCCCTTATGCCATGGCAGTTTCTCATCTCCGCCTCCAAGGGAGACTCCCACGTGTTTCTTATTCCCGTGTTTCAAAACGTCCCCCCACTTCTGGTATCCCATCTTCTACACCACACCTCTGTGGTTACCTCTCCCATAATCACTCCTGTATCTAATCCTTTTGCTGTCCTCGGCTCAGACGTCCCTACTTCAACGCCTCTGTCTAATCTCGCTTCTTCGAGTTCTCTCTTACAAGCCTCAGTATCGATGAGACCTCGTACGACACCTCTTCCCAATCGTCCCTCTACTTCTCAAAAGTCAAAAAAAGGTCCGGTAACACCTCCTACCCATCTTCCACCTCCTCATTTTACCCTCCCTGTCTCTGTCCCTAGTTCTTCCCCTCTCACTGGCTCAGTTACAAGTGGCAGAGGTTCACCCTCCTCCTCGTAATGTACCTTCCTCCCCTGTTCCCTCCCAAGTTTCTTCCTCTTCTGCCACCTCCCAGGTTCCTGTCTCTTCTGTCCCTGCCACGCTTCTCCAGTTCCCTCCACCCTTTCGCCCCCCCCTACCTTGGTACAGTCCAATACAGTTCCAATCTTTACTCATCCTCCCCCTACCATTCCCAATATTGTCTCCCATACGACATCTCTGAATTCCGAAACACTTGAAGCAATCTCTGAATATATTGCAGAGACCAAACCATCAATGGACACCGATCCACCTTCCGCTCTTTCTCTCTCCTCTGCTCCATCTGCGCAACTCCTTTCTTCACAGCGCACCGTTCCTTCGCTGCTTGAACATTTTCCACTGCCTCCGCATGTGGACTTTTCTAACCCTTCTAGTCCGTAGGAACCCTTACCTGCGGATTTCAAGTATCTCTATCATTGCCAATCATGGCCTTTTTACAGTGGAATATACGCGGCCTCAGGGGTAATCGGGGTGAGCTTCAGATGTTACTCTCCCAGTTTGCCCCTGTTGGTGTTTGCTTACAAGAACCAAAATTACACTCTGCTGTTATTTCTCACATCTCAGGCCTATAATTTATGTATTCTTCAGATCCTTTTCCCTGATGGGACCTTTAATGAAAGTGCCCTTCTTCTCCGCACTGATATTCCGTACCATCAGCTATTTGTTCATACATTCGCTGCATTACACAGCAGCCCGTATCCACTTACATAGGTGGTATACGCTCTGTTCTTTATATCTCTCTCCTTCTTCGGGCATTATCTATTCCGGATTTTGCCTTCCTTGTTTCGTCATTACCGCCACCGATTCTGTTACTTGGATGATTTTAATGCCCACCATTTCCTCTGGGGAGGGTCTCACTGTGATTCCCGAGGAATTCAGTTAGAGGCTTTTCTTGCCACCCACCCCTCCATGTTTTAAATACAGGTACTCTCACACCCATTTTGATCCTCGGACTCATACTCTCTCTTGCATCGATCTCTCAGTTTGCTCTTCCTCCACCGCATTAGACTTTACTTGGTCTGTTCTCCCGGACTTACATGACAGTGATCATTTCCCAATCATTCTTACTTCCCCTTCATATTCGCCACCTCTTCGCACCCCACGCTGGCAATTTAATCGGGCAAATTGGAACCTTTACTCACATCCTGACTGTTTTTAAAGAGGTTCCTTCTTCGTCCTCCATCGATGAGCTTTTACACCTCTTCTCGTCCTCCGTTTTCACCGCAGCTTCTCATTCTATACCCCAAACTTCGGGCAGGCATTCTCAGAAATGCGTGCCTTGGTGGTCTCCTGCTTGTGCTCGTGCAGTACGTTTGAAACGCGCTGCATGGGGCAGGTACCGGTACAATAGAACCACAGAGCGACTCCTTGATTTTAAACAGAAGCGTGCGATCGCTCGCCGTGTCATCCGTGACGCTAAACGCACTTGCTGGCGAGATTATGTCTCCACCATCACCTCTGCTTCCTCTATGAGTGCAGTCTGGAAAAAAGTACGAAAACTGAGTGGTAAATATTCTCCTGACCCGGCTCCTGTTCTGCGGGTTGCCGGTGTTGATATAGCAAACCCACTAGATGTTGCCAATGAATTGGCAATCATCTGGTCCGTATTTCTCAGGGACTCCATCTATGCCCCTCATTTCTTTCCTCAAAGTCTGCCTGAGAGTTAGCACCCTTGGACTTTTCTTCTCTCAGAGAAGAACAGTATAATGTGCCTTTTACACTTCAAGAACTGGAGGCAACACTCTCAGCTTGTCGATCATCGGCAGCTGGGCCCGACGACATTCATATTCGTATGCTACAACATTTACATCAGTCAGCCCTTGCAGTCCTATTACGCCTTTACAATCTTATTTGGTCACAAGGAGTTCTTCCACAGCTGTGGAAATCCGCCATTGTTCTCCCTTTCCGCAAACCAGGCACTACGGGACATGAAACTCTCCCACTATCGTCCCATTGCTCTTACCAGTGCAGTTTGCAAAGTAATGGAACGTCTAGTAAATAGACGTTTAGTGTGGTATTTAGAGACACACAACAGTCCTCTCCACTCGTCAATATGGCTTTCGTAAGGGACGTTCTACCATAGACCCCTTACTGTGCTTGGATACGTATGTTCGTAATGCCTTTGCGAATAACCACTCAGTTATATGCCATATTTTTTGACCTTGAGAAGGCATATGACACAACTTGGAGGTATAATATTTTAGCCCAAGCCCACTCCTTAGGCCTTCGAGGCAATCTACCATCCTTCCTTAAGAACTTTTTAACTGACAGGCATTTCCGTGTTCGGGTTAATAATGTGCTTCTCCCGGACTTTATCCAAGCTGAAGGTGTCCCCCAGGGATGTGTTCTGAGCACAACACTTTTTCTCCTTGCTATTAATGATTTGGCCTCTAGTCTTTCCATCAAATATTTGGTCATCACTCTATGTTGATGACTTCGCTATTGCCTGTGCAGGCGCTGACTGTCACCTCCTTACAGTTTCTCTCCAGCATGCAGTCGACCGTGTTTCCAATTGGGCCACCACACATGGGTTTAAATTTTCCAGCACTAAAAACCCACCAAATCACTTTCACTAGACGCTCTGTCATCTCCGATCATCCTTTGTACCTCTATGGCTCACGTATCCCTGAACGTGATACAGTCAAGTTTTCTGGGCCTCCTCTTTGATCGTAGGTTATCCTGGAAACCTCACATTACCTCTCTGAAGGCAACTTGTCACAGCCGGCTGAACCTTCTAAAACCCTTGCTCATCTTTCGTTGGGGAGCTGATCGTCGAACCCTCCTTCACCTACATTCCACCCTTATTTTATCGAAACTTGATTATGTGACCCAGATCTATCAGCGGCATCTCCTGCTACTCTCTCTAGCCTTAACC